CGGTAGAGAGACCTCGGTCCCATCTCCACCTGCCATCTGGGGGTCTTCCCATGACCAGTCTATGCTGTCCCTCCTGCTGAAGGGTTGTAGATCTGAGTCTGTCTGGAGGGTAAATGGTGGCTGAATCGAGCAGAGCAGGCGTTGGTAGGCCTGCTCCAGTTCCCACTCCATGGTTACCAGGTGTGTCACCTGGTCGTCGTCAGCCCAAACGTGTATGCCCATCCTGTAGTCAAGGATGTCCCAGAATCTGAACTCCTCCGTGCTGCCGAAAACAGGCTCCTCCTCCATGGCATCCAGTAGTAGACCAGGACCATCGTACTCATCCCCCTCAGGCCTGTCGAGCTCCTCCATCTCGGGGGTATGCTGCACTGTGTACCACCAGAGGGCCTGGTAGGCGTCCTCCAGCCAAATCTCCTTCCATACCAGTCTCTTGAGCTCTGTTACCCACTCGTCCAGGGGCTGCTCTCCCAGAAAAGACATTCGCAGAGCCACTTGCCTCTGGATCCGCTGCTCTTCACTAGGGAGCCTCTCACCTCGCTGACGCTGCACATCTTCCAGGGCTTCATCCCAAAGTTCCTTTCTGGTGGCCTCCTGGTAGTCCATCATGGCCTTTTCTGATATAGGCCCATCCTGCAGGGACAGGAGCTCCTGCAATCTCCAATGGAACTCCTGCTCCATGTTGCTGTAGATAGGGACACGGCACAGTAGCTAGCTCTATCCCTCTAGTTGTAACTCCACACATTACCGGTGTCTCCGAGCTGCTTCTCCTCGCACTAGGACGCCATCCCACCACTTGCCACCAATGTAACGGATCACCTGGCACCCCGACTGGGTACCTCTGTTGAAGGATGCTCCTATCGCTTCCTGAGGGCTCCAAGCGCTCTGCCAGACACCACAACCACCACAGACCCCACGAACCACCGCAGCTTGGTTGGGGTCTCGCAGCCTCCTACCCACCCTGGACCTACGACAAGGCTCCAGGTTCCAGTGAGTGAACCTCTAGTCCAAGAGAGTGAAGCAGAAACAAGCTCTTAAAAGAGCTTAGTAGTGATTGGCTAAGGGAGTATGCAGAGCATAGCAATCCCTTGTAGTGATATAGCAATTCCCCCAATAAGAGAGAAGACTCTAGATTGAGGGTGAAGAAGAACTGTCTGTACTGGCACATACAGCCTCTTTTATTCACATTCTACAAACATAGTACTGCCCACAGGGTTTTGAAGAACAACCAATCAACACATTACAACACAGCTAACACTCCCATTCACTACATCAGAAATCCTCCCCTCTGCCTGTGATACAATTATCTCAACACAATAGCCTAACTTAATTATCACAGGCAGGAAATACAGTATTATAAAACATATCACAGGGACCCCAAAACATGCAATATCCCCAGATCCGTTCAGTAGTTTAGAAGATACGGTTTAATGCAGATTCCGCAGAACATATACAGGCTATATGAAAAATAATTACTGTTAAATGTGTCCTCTGTTTAAAATTACTGAACTATGTCTTTGTGCACTAAATACTGGCGAGATGGCACCCTGTAGAAAAGTCCAAACAGTGTCTGTGAGTCAAAATGGCCGCCATCCATTGTTCTCATCATGTGCTTCATCCATTGTTCTCACCATGTGCTTCTGATACATGAAATGGTGGCCACCCAGTAACTCCACAGTATGTCCCCAGATGGTTCTTAAAGGGCCAGCAGCATAATAAAATACAATATGCCCAAATCAGTTCCTTAAAGGGCAATACATCCCAGGGCCATAGTCGCAGGGCAGGAGGCTGGCAAACAGGCCCCTTCAAAAACCAGTGACGAGGTCACTTTCTCCACACAATGTATAATGGATGAGTTTGAGAGAAGTTGAAAAGAGCAGAGTGTGTGAGATCAGACAAGAATGGAGGATGACGTGGATGAATGGTAAAGTTAGAAATCTTTACAGTAATATGTGTAACAATGTAGTAGTAATTCTGAATGATGGATTCAAGGAAAAGCAACAAGTGGAGCTATTTGGGGGAGAGACAGAAATGGAGTGAAATGGCCAGTTAAAAAAAAAAAAGACAGGAGGAAGTATGGTATGCTAACATTTTATTTATTATTGTACAACCTCTTCTATTTATCTTCTCCATCTTCTCTTTACAGGTTATGTTCTCATTTGAAGCAGGTAGACGTTGTTCATCGGGTCCAGGCAACTTTACTTTTGAGACATCTCAGGGTCATGAGATATTTCAAAGAGTAGAATCTTCCATCCGTGCTCAGCAGGGGACAGAGAATAGGCTAAGCTGCTCAATACTGGACACTGATGTCTTTGCAGAAAACGCTTCCCATGTACTAGAATCAACAAGTTCTGAGGTGCAGACAAAAAATGTGATATCAAGGAAAGAGCCAGAGGAGAAGCCAGTCAAAGGTCGAACTCTTCCTAATCCACCTATGGCCAAATCTGCTGCACCACAGCATCTTCTTGAACCTTCTGCTTTTGGATCAAAACCTGTAATCTCCAACACTCCCCCTCGCTCTCCTGTCTCTAAATCTGCTAGTCACCACTCGGGTGGAGACACAGATGACTTGGTTGGAGTGTATTCTGAACCTAAGGATTCTGTGAGAGGTGTAAAACCTGTTTTTGACCCTTTATACTCAGATCCTGTTGACAGTGTCAAAGGACAGATTACAAACAGAGACATGAGTGGGGTCTCCCCTCTTTACTCAGATCTCTATGAGCAGGTTGGGTATGAGGTGGTAGGAGTGGTCTCGCCAAAACTACAAACTAATCCCACCTTTCGTCCCACATCTGAGGAGCACATTTATGATGAGCCAGAAGGGATTGCCCAATCTTCTGAACCTCCACAGTTGTACTCGGAGGTACGAATGGAAAAAGGTGCCTGGATGAAACAGGCTAGTGATGAAAAGCTTCGCTATGAGTACCCCTATAACCCAGTCACAGATGATTACTCCGTGCCAAATTTCCAAGGACAGCGTGTTCAGCCACGAAATAGATCTGGTCCAAAACCAGTTCCTGCTCCCAAACCTCAAGGAGTGACCTTACTCAAAACTATAGGAAAAGAACCTGAGACTGATAAAACATTCACACAGTCTCATAGCATCTCATCCAACAGTAACAACAATAACAGCAGCCACATAGAACCTTTGTATAGTCAGATACAAAAAACAGGTGCATCATCAAAACTGCAATCACCAGCAAATCCACAGTGTACCACATCCACACCTGGAACCCCAGTCTCTGTGCCACTACCGACAAAACCTCCATCTCTTCCAGCCCTGCCATTTCCAAATAAACCTCTGCCTCACTCTGTCAAGGCTTCAGGAGTGCCAGGCCTGCCAATCCCATCAAAACCTCATGTTCTGCCACCAGCTACACTTCTTACCAAACCAATTCCGCTGTATCCTCAACCTGTAACCCAGGCTAGCCAATCCTTAGGATGTCCTGAGAAAGAGCTGTCTGTAGATGAAAATAGACAGACATCCATCTACGAGGACATGGGAGTTCTGTGAAAAATATATATTTACTGTTATTGTTGAAAATGAAATGTGACAATCGACACTTCTCTTAAACAATTTCCATCAGTATGCATTGCCACCATTTGAGCAATTTTGTGATAGTGCCCCAGGGAGAGACTGTGCCCCTTACTGTGTGATACTGCCCCCAGGAGATACTTTGCCCCTCACTGTGTAATACTGGCTCCAGAAGTTACTGTGCCCCTTGCTGTGTAATACTGGCTCCAGAAGTTACTGTGCCCCTCGATGTTTAATACTGGCTCCAGAAGTTACTGTGCCCCTCGATGTTTAATACTGGCTCCAGAAGTTACTGTGCCCCTCGATGTGTAATACTGGCTCCAGAAGTTACTGTGCCCCTTGCTGTGTGACACTGTCCCCAGAAGTTACTGTGCCCCTTGCTGTGTGACACTGTCCCCAGAAGTTACTGTGCCCCTTGCTGTGTGACACTGTCCCCAGAAGTTACTGTGCCCCTCACTGTGTAACACCACCCCCAGAAGTTACTGTGCCCCTCGCTGTGTAATACTGGCTCCAGAAGTTACTGTGCACCTCGATGTGTAATACTGGCTCCAGAAGTTACTGTGCCCCTCGCTGTGTAATACTGGCTATAGAAGTTACTGTGCCCCTCGATGTGTAATACTGGCTCCAGAAGTTACTGTGCCCCTTGCTGTGTGTTACTGCCCACACATACTGTGCCCTCTATGTGTCTATGTGACACCACCCAAGGGAAACCCATATCTAATACATCTCTGCATACTACAGAGTATCTGCATACCACCCTTGGGTTAATTCTGCCAAGTTGTTGGTAAAGTTATTGTTCTGTTCAAAATCCGACTTAAATGAAACTTGTTTGCATTTGAATTAAGTGAATGATATAATTGTAAGACATTTTTATGTACAAAATCAGATATTTTTTTTTGTGCGTTCCAAGCAGAGTCTTAATTATATTTTTCCAGAAAAAGGTAATGTCCTAAACCCCAATATGACTATTAATTTGTAGGAGAAACAATACAAAATAACTAAGCAGAATGGAATTGTGATAAAACCTTAATAAAAAGTTCAGGCTGCCTTACAACCTGTTGGCATTATTCTTCTATCTTACCGAGTGCCTTATCATCACATGTCCCTACAATCTAAAAAGGGGCGAAGGGAGCTGTCCTGCCATGCAGTGACACTCAAGCATCTCATGCACAGCCATATCTGTGAGTGTAAAGCAATCCACTAATAAAATATCAATCCACTTTACTCCACTTCTTTATTATTGATAAACCATTGAAAAGTTACATACTTTACATGTGAATGTTTCTTATATGTTTTTCCATTGTATATCCTGTGACAAACTCCCCTTTCCACGTGTGTTTGCCACAAGCTCCTGAAAGGAGCCTGTTTGCAAGCCTCCTGCCCTTATACTATGGGCCCTGTAAAAGTCTCCATTCGTGTATTTGCATTATATGTTAAGCATTTCCGTCGCAATGTTCTAAGTGTTTGTCTGGGTGGCTGCATTTACTATGGATGACCACAAGGTGGCGACCATCTGGTTCGCACGAATGCAGGCAGCGGTGTTTAGTCATCGAGTTCATGGAAATGAAAAACGGACACAGAAACTCTCAAACACCACTGGACGTCCAGCATCGCCTGCGTTCGGTTCTACAACCCTTAGGAGGACACTGTTTGGTGGAAACGTTCCCACGAACACGGTAAGAATATTAACTATGTTAGGTAGTTTGTTCGGTTTTAAACAACCGAACTAGACTGACCGCTAGCCCTGATCTTGTGGAACTGATTTGGGCAGGAGCCTCGTCTGTGATCGGTCAAATTAAGACTTCCAGAAAATTCCTGAACCCTTGAACCGACAAAGGTGATTTTTGGATATGTTGGTCAAACAGATCGGGACTATCAGGGGATGTAACTTTTAGGGGGTTTATGTATTTTTAAGGTACTTTTGGGGTATTTGTGAAATGTGTTTTTTGTGCCTGGAGATAATAGTTTTGTACAGTTCCTGACTCCACTATCTCGCAGGCATAGGGGAGGGATTATCCTGTTTTCTGTGGGAGTGTCATGGGCGTGCTTGTCTGTGTTCAGAAATGTATAAAAGAAGGCCATCTGGCCATATTAAATGTATTCCAGCTTGTACTCCCAGAACTGTGTCATCTGGGGGTGGATAGAGTGAGTTCCCCAAGAGGGAGCGGTTCCAGGGCCCAAGTCAAGCCACGGCGACTGTGGGCAGAAGTGCTGCGGTTTGTCCCCTGTACCCAGCCAGGGGTACAGGGAGCTCCATTACATATTCCTTATCACAGCTGTTTGTGCCTGTACATTTTTATTCAAGATAAACTCTTTCATTGTACAGGCAGGCAAGTGAGTACACAAAGCCTGCCAGGGATTGAATACGTGGAGTTAAGTGGGGAAAAACCCAACAAGTCAGGGGGCAGAGTCAATTGTCCTGAGCTAGCTCCCAACCATTTTTAGTTCACCAACCACCACGGTCATGTTATTTTGATTATTAATAATATAATAATTCATTAATATTAATTTATAATAAATTGACATCCAAGTCAATGGCGCTACTATCAACTCTACCTCACGGGCTTGCTGCCTAGGTGTTCTCTTTGATTCTCACCTCTCCTTCACTCCAAGGGCAGTTTCCCCTGGAGTCCATAGACTATTCTGGAGCGGTGGATTCTTAAAGGATTGATAAGTAAGGGAGAGACTGACGTGGGAGGTAGTGTTCCATCGGAGTGGATCTGCTCATGAGAAGTTTTGTAGGCGCGAGGTAGTATTAAGAGTACACGCAGCACACAGGATTATGGACACCTCAGCATAGAGCTGGCGTCATGATGTCATTAGAGCTCTAAGGAGCCCCAAACAGGTCTAATAACACAGCTAGCCCAATGTGCCTTGTTGTGATTCCTAGAGTGTCCCAATAGAGTGTACCTTTGTCTGTAATAAATTATTTTGATATTGACCTGGCTTTCTCTTGACTACTCTTTTTCTCTGGTTTCCTCGACTTTCGTTTTTTGTGATTTTCTGGCCTCTCCTCATCTTGGCTTGTTTGGACGTTCCCATTATACCTTTTATTTACTCTATCTGGCCATTCTAAGAACCGGCTTGGAACCTTTTCTTGGTCTTCATCTTTCTGGAGGACTTACATTCTGCATATTGAGTATAATTGCTACAAGAAATGTAGACTTTATTAAAGAGTCTATTAAATATTTAAACCGCAATACAGGCTTTCAATGGAATTCTACATATTTCCAAACCAGGTAGGTTTTTAGACCTAATGTACATGTACACAGAAGAAACTCAATTTAAACCAAAATTAAAACAGTCTGTAACAGAGCCTGAGTACCTCTGTTGGGTTGGTTTCCTTGCTATTACCAGGGCAATCTAGAGCGCTCCAGACCCAGTCATCGAACCTGGATAGAGCTATTATATCCACAGTGGTTATAGCTCCCTGTGGTGGTTTTAGTTCTCAGCGGTGGTTATAACACCTAGTCCAGCTCGTTGGTCTAGGGGTATGATTCTCGCTTCGGGTGCAAGAGGTCCTGGGTTCAAGCCCAAGCATTCTGTGGTTTTTCTTTTTTGCTGATAATACTAAGATATGTAACAGGGTTGATGTTCCAGGAGGGATAAGCCAAATGACAAATGATTTAGGTAAACTAGAAAAATGGTCAGAATTGTGGCAACTGACATTTAATGTGGATAAGTGCAAGATAATGCATCTTGGACGTAAAAACCCAAGGGCAGAGTACAGAATATTTGATAGAGTCCTAACCTCAACATATGAGGAAAGGGATTTAGGGGTGATTATTTCTGATGACTTAAAGGTAGGCAGACAATGTAATAGAGCAGCAGGAAATGCTAGCAGAATGAGAGGTATTAGCAGTAGAAAGAGGGAAGTGCTCATGCCATTATACAGACCACTGGTGAGACCTCACTTGGAGTATTGTACACAGTACTGGAGACCGTATCTTCAGAAGGATATTGATACCTTAGAGAGGGTTCAGAGAAGGGCTACTAAACTGGTTCATGGATTGCGGGATAAAACTTAACAGGAAAGGTTAAAGGATCTTAACATGCATAGCTTGGAGGAAAGACGAGACAGGGGGGATATGATAGAAACATTTAAATATATAAAGGGAATCAACACAGTAAAGGAGGAGACTATATTTAAAAGAAGAAAAACTACCACAACAAGAGGACATAGTCTTAAATTAGAGGGACAAAGGTTTAAAAATAATATCAGGAAGTATTACTTTACTGAGAGGGTAGTGGATGCATGGAATAGCCTTCCAGCTGAAGTGGTAGAGGTTAAAACAGTAAAGGAGTTTAAGCATGCGTGGGATAGGCATAAGGCTATCCTAACTATAAGATAAGGCTAGGGACTAATGAAAGTATTTAGAAAATTCGGCAGACTAGATGGCCGAATGGTTCTTATCTGCCGTCACATTCTATGTTTCTCTATGTTTCTATGCAGGGATTACAGCTCTGGAGACCTCTGCTTCTGTAGAACAGTGATTATAGCTTCTCCCCCACACATTAGTTGAGACCTAAGGGCTATAAGTATATATATTTATAGAGAGAAACATAGGTTCCCATTCCAGGGGGCCCTTCATGCAATGCAATTGCCCTTACAATAGTTTCTTCCCGGCACCACTATGTCTAGGGTTCCACTACATCTGACAAGGTAGACTCCCTGCTGTACCCTCACAGAGAGAGGCAAGATGTACATAATTTCCCTCAGAACAGCACCCCCACACGTTACATATCCCCCTGGATAGCTCATCACCGAGTACCCTTACTGTCCAAATTGTGTCCTGATCACAAAAATTGCGCCCGAGCTACAGTGTGTTAAAGTTTTACCAAGTTCTAGGCATGTGGCTGATTAGTACCAGTCTCTCAAGATCGGTTCCTGGGGGCTCTGGGGAGGACATTATATATCACTGGATAGCTGTCCAAAGAGCACTCTGATCAGTGGTCAGGGGACTGAGCGATACCAGATTGAAAATTCACTAGAATTGCGGCACATTCCCAATCCCAAGGTATCTCCCAGGCAAACGCTCGAGGTGCAGCAAACGCCAGAGGCCCCCAAATCAGGTTGGGAGGCAGCATAAGCCTCCATACCCCCCTCCCATACTGACATTAGCTTCTTCTTGTCCATGATGGAATGGGGTTATGTGACACATTCTTTAAATATATGAATGTAACTAAGGCACCTCAAACCCCTCCCCCCACCCCTACCCTTGAGGTTTCTGAACTATAGCTCCTATTATGTTCTAGCCATTTTCAGCAAAGATTTCTGGGAGTTGTAAGCCACCAACATCTTGGGGATCGAGAATACTGAACACAGGGAGCATTCTCCACGAACCAGCTTGACTATATCTTATGTGGTTTTCATGCAGAACCTCATGAATGGAGACCGGCTCTTGCCACAACTTCCATGGAACTATTTCTGGGCTTCCGGCCGGTCTATTTTAAACAGTTGAAGTACTCTTGGCAGACCGGTTCCTGTGGTGGGGTCTCCCATACAATAATACAGGGCTTCTCTGTGCCTGAGAGATAATTGCGTGAGAAAAAGCTGTAATCTCTCTGGTACAGAAAAATCTTCAATATTTTAAAACATGAGAGTACTAGCTAAATGAATAAAAAATGGTAACCAATATGTATAATGAAATGGGCAGCTACACCCAGAAAAAGCAACTTGGCAAATAGAAACAACACATTGAAGATATTGTATGTGCGCTCTAACAGTGTAGGTGGATAGAAGAAATAAAAAATGGTTCCTATAAATAAAAGATAAATATCCCTTTAATGAAATACAGCAAGATAAAAAATTTTAAAAAGGGGTTTTCCCTTTCAATATAAGTAAACCTCTTTAGTGGGATTTGTAACATAATCCAGCAATGTATCAATGTTTCTGGTTGTTATAACTGTTTAAAAAGAAGCAGCTGTTGCAGCCCAAGATGGAAGGTGTAATGTGAAACAAGAGAGGGGGTAGACTCACTAAATGTTGCAAGAATCTACAAAGCCCCTCTCTGACACGTGTAAACCAGTGAACCAGAAAAACCATAAACAACATAAATACTTAAACTGGTACTCCTCTATTAGAGGAAGAGAATAAAGCAAAAGTATATATAACAAAAAAGCATGAAAGATGTGTGCCGAAATATCCCCTGATAGCCCTGATCTGGGTGAACAACATATCCAAAAATCACCCAGATCAGAGCAGGGGTTCAGGAAATTCCTGGAAGTCTCTTTTTGACCGACCGCACGCATGGTTTCATGCCCAAAACCGTTCCAGAGAATTAGACTGTGCGGCCGGTCTATTTTAAACAGTTGAAGTACCGTTCAAATTACCAAACAAAATGGTGAATGACCATAGTCAATGTGTGTCCCTTGTATGTGGGCTTCGACTCACCAAACACCATTTGACTCACGTTCGAATTGTCGAAGTTCCCTGGAAGGTAACTATGACAAACTGCCCTTTGCTCCAGGCTTTTGGAGGAGCCTGATTGCAAGCTTCCTTCCTTATGACTATGGCCCTGGGGTGCATGGCCCTTTAAAAACATTATTTGGGCATATTGGGTTGTAACACACTTTTTCTGCCCCATTAATTCGATGAGCACTCTTCCCCTCCCCCGTTTAATTGTCTATTGTTTCCCCAGCAGGGCATTGTCCCAGGGACACTGCCAGACCAGTTTAAACTGGCTGCTTTGTCCCTCCTCAATCTCTCATCAGCCCTTGCTAAACT